GATCATATAACTTTTGTCCTTCATTCTGTTGATGTAGTGTAGCAAGTTTATTGATGTGCACATGTTGAACCATGCTTGCGTCTCTATAATGAATCTTACTTGACTATGGTAAATAACCTTTTAATGTGCTATTAGATTTTATTGAAGATTTTTACATCTGTGTTCATAAGGGTATTGGGCAGTAGCTTTACGTATTTATTTTTATTGTTGTTGTGTCCCTGGCTGGTTTTTGGTATCACTATAATACTAACCTTATAGAATAATTTTGGAAAAGTTCTTTCCTCTTCAATTTCTGGGATAATTTAAGAATTGTTACCAATTCTTTAATGTTTGGTAGACTGAGCTATACAAATAAAACTGAATTTAAACTGAGCTTTAGTGATTAAAAATAGTAGATGTTCAGCTGGGCTTAGTATCCAATTCCTTAGTAATACAAGACTCCAGGAAGCTGAGACAGGAGAATCATAAGTTCTAGCCTAGCCTAGGCAACTTAATGATTTATTGTCTCAAACTAAAAAAATAAAACATACAGGGGATATGGCTCAATGCAAGGCTTTGAGTTCAGTCTCCAGTATTGTAAAAATGAATAGATGGTTAGATGAATAAGTAAATAAGAGGTCTTTAATAGAGAAAAAAAGGATTATTTTGTAAACTAGGCTTAATCATTTAAAACAATATTGAATACTTATTTTCTTGCTTTCGATTTTAAAGTTACTAACTTTCCCTCATGTTTTATTTTGTTAGATTATAAGAGATTAATAATAAAATTTAAAACTTCTATTAAAGTGACACAACATTATATGTGAGTAATTATGAATTATAATTTGGCTTCCAAAAATCATTACTCACTAGAGAGCACTCACAACAATCCTAATGTTTTCTACCTGATCCTAGTGCATTTTTGAAACACTTAAACTATTTACAGAATTATGTTAATCATTGGTTATTCCACTGTCTCCTTACATAGAAATTTATAAAAATGGTGTGTGTTTATTTCAACAGTCCAACAGAGAAGTACATAAAACAAACTGAAAGTCAGTCTTAAAACCAGCAACATTTTTCTGCTTCCTACCTTTGCCCAGCATTATTGCTACCCAAGACAGGCATTTCTAACACCACAGTATACATGTTTCAAGGCCTGTTCAGGAGTACTTTGCACCCCTGCTTGTCAGTAGTCCATATGCCATGGGATCCATGTCTTTTGGAGGCCCCCACACTGGATTGGTGATGATTTGATTCATTGTTATTGTTGGCCCAGCACTAAAAAGGAGTTCGGGTGTGGTTGAGTCAGACTTGCACCCTGACCTCGGGTGACCTTCTTTGTAGTAGGAAAGACATGTTTCTAAGAGCAGCTGAGATGTAAGAGAAGAACAGATGAGGTATTGCGGAATTTATAATGTAGAGAAAACACATTTGACAGGCCAAGAGGTAATATTTGAGCTCTACCTTGAAAGACAGATAAGATAGCACTGGAGAAGACAAAATAGCAGTTGAAAGGCAGATAACACAGCTTTTACAAGGTTATCTCATTGTCCTGGGCTGTAGCACACCCAGGGAGCAGCAGGAGATAAAGGTGCAAAAGTAGTATGTGGGAGGACTCTGAATACCTCTAACAAAAAACCTTGGAAACTTTTTGAACAGGAGGTGTGCGTTAGAAATATTAATCGGACATTGGAAGAGTCTAGTGTCAGTCACGGTCCTTGCAGTCACTTGCGTGGAAAGTTATCATAGTGAAGCACACTTGGTCATAGAGCTGTTACTTAAATGAAACCTTCGATCTCAGCAGCTACCGTGTTCCGTACATCTGAGAAGACCTTGATTATAAGGCTTACCATATTTTCCATGCCAGTAGGGAGAAACAAGCATCAATTAAGTTTAAGAGATTATCAGTTATGCTGTGTATCTTGACTTCAAATATCACAGTAAGAAAGATGTGCATCATGAAATCAGAGAAATGGGGCCATTGCACAGGCACAGAGAATGATGGCATATGCTAGGGAAAAGGGAGAAGAAAAGGAAAAGAATGGGGGACAAGATCAAAACCAGTGGCAGCGAAGTTGAACTTGAAAAGAAGAACAAGGTATTCATTTACCTCTGTTACAAGACAAATAAATAATGGTGTTAGACAAATCAATAATGGAGCAGAGAAGCTGAGAAACTAAAAAATTAAGTAAACTGATATAAAATAACCTGCCTTCATAAAATAGAAGGCAAGGTCATCTGCAAAAAAGATTGACAGTGGTGGGTTTAAGGGCTTGAGACTTAAGAGTAAAATGATTTTAGGTGAGTGAGACATAAAAGAATTGTCAGAAATGAGGGGCACAGATTAAAAAGTGACGATTTATAAAGAAGCCAGTTGACTTACTTGTGACCTTGTCCAGGCTCACTTGGTACCCTGAGAGGAGGACAGAAGAAAAGTGGAAAGTGCTTTCTGCAGGGGCAGAGACTGCCTGGGCGGGTATGGGGAAGGACAGGAAAGGGCAGCAATCTAGTTTCTGCTGGGGGAGGTTGTTGCTTCTGCCTGCCAGAGAGTTCAGCAAGAAATGAGCTGTGAGGCCAGCAGAATGATAGACGAATGTGAGTTTTCTTAATTAGGAGGTAGTAGTGGAGAGGTTGATGATTAAAGAATTTTATAAAGAAGGTAAAAGTTCTGGAGTAGTTAAGTTGACGGGGAATTTCAGGATTTAGGGTCATGGAGGGAGGTAGAGTTCTGAGCAATGTCTTAAAGATGAGTTTTTCTAAAGCACGCATAAGAGTGTGTCTGTGTGGCTTGAAAATTTCTCAGGGTTCCCATTTCTTTCATGATGAAATCTTTACTTATTAGAGGACAGATAAGGCTCATTACAAACTGGCCCATGTCACATTTTCAAGCTCCTATCTTGTTTCCTTGTATGATTATATGACTGCTGTGGTTTTGTGATTTTGTTTTGTTGTGGTGTGATTTGGTTTGTTTTTCTGTGCTGTGGATTGAACCAAGGCCTCTACACTGAACTACCTCCCCAACACTTTGTGTTTTTTATTTTGAGACAGGGTCTTGCTCAGTTGTCCAGATTAGACTTAAACTTGCAATCCTCCTGCCTCAGCTTCCCAGAGTGTTAGGATTATAGATGTGCAGCGCCCAGGGACTCATTATAGTGCCCAGAGTAATCAAGGTTGTTGTCTACCATCTTTCCTTTCCAGTGCTGCTCCCTTTCACACTGAATACTCTTCCTTCGTCTTCTCTACCTTGCCATGTCCTGCCCACCCTTGGGACCCAACTCTATGGCACTTCTTGGGGCCCTGTCCAGCCCCTGCCCAGGCACTGGATGTGCACATGACCATCCACCGGCCCTGGGCCTTTTGCGGTCTCCAAGGAGCTTGTGAACTCCATAGTGTGAGAGGGAATCTTCCTTTCCCCACAGCACCAAGTACGTTATGTAGATAATTTCTGCTTGCTGAAGTTAGAGTGAATGAAGCAGCTGGCACATCCCAGATGGCCTCTGTGTTCACAGACCCATCCAGCTGTCTTCGTAGCATTTGGACTCTGCTTAAGCCCGAGATGAGGTCCAAGGTTCTGACTTTCTAGTAATTTTTCGTGATGCCCACACTCGTGGATATGAGGAGAGTGGCTCAGAAAGAGCCTTGGTGTAAACCCTGGAGCCTCAATATGACAGCAGAAAGTCACATAGGAAGACATGCTTAATTAACCATGGGACACAGTAGAAAGGGGGCTGTTGTTGACAAGACTGCGAGGCTAGAGCTTCATGGCTTCTGTTTTAGAAACGGGAAGGTGGGAGGAGAGAGGACCGCCATGCAAGCGTGTTCTTTGGAGTAGCCTGGCAGGAAGCAGCAGCAGGAGTCAGGCTCAGGGGCTCCTGGATAAGGCAGGACCTGCAGGGCAGGGGTGGTGGGAGAACAGCAAAAGAATGGCAAGTGTTGGAATCTTCAGTCCTAATTCACTAGGCTGGAGGCATACTGTTTTTAATAATTTTCTTGGTGTTTAGAGACAGGGTCTTGCTGCGTAGTTCAGGCTGGCCTCCAACTCATGGCCATTCTGCTGCCTTGGCCTCCCAAGCTCCGGGATTACAGGTGTGCGCCCCCGTGCATGGCTTTTTTTTTTTTAACCTCATAAATAACTGAACAAGTAGCACTAGCACTAGTAATAAGCATACTTGCTAATACTCATAATTCTGAATCTGATAATTCTAAGAAAAGGTTCAGCAACCCTAATTTTTAAAAGTACTATTGAACAAGAGTAATAACTACTTTTTTAACATATGAAAAATAAAATGTTTGAATATCTTACCACCAAATCCCTTCCCCCACAACCAGTAATCAGTCTGATACATACTCTTCCCACTGTTAACCATACAAACTGGTATTCACACAGACAGGAATTTTTAATTTTGTTAGTGGCATTTTTGTGTATGTATTCCGCATATTGTTTTCTCACTTTAGAATAGGTCGTAAACATTCCCTCAAGTCAATGGATAGGGTTCTAACTTGCTTTTTTCCCATAGTCATTTTTAAATAGTTGTGTATAAATATAGATGTCCTATAATTTGTTCTGCCATTCTCCTGTTATTGGACAATTGGGTAATTTTCAATTTTAGTTACTATAAACAGTGTAACCAAAAAAATCCTGTTGTTATTGGTGCCTCAATAACATGACTCTGACTTTAACCACTCATACATACCAAAAATAATTTTTATCTCATTTTTTCATGAAGTACAGCAGTGTCTATAACAGCCACTAATTACATGTTACTATTTAAATTTAAATTAGTGAATTAAATTTAAATCTACTTCTTATTTCAAGTGCTTGGTGCCCTATGTGAGTAGTTGCTACCATAGTGAACAGCACAGAAGAGACTTTTTTATCCTACAGAAAATTCTGTTGGGTAACCTGGACTAGACAGTCAAATGTTACATTTAAGGAACTTACTTTTCAATGAGTTGATGTTCTAATAAGCATATCTTTTAAAAAGTGAAAAGTATGTCTGTATTGTTTGCCTCTGCAGTTACTTCAATGGGAATCAGTACCCTGATGAAGCAAAGCGAGAAGAAATTGCAAATGCCTGCAATGCAGTCATACAGAAGCCAGGTAAGGAGGCTTAGCTGTGCATGCTGCTCAGGTCATTTTGCAGTCAGGACATGAAATCTCCCACTCGTGTCTGGTCAGCTGTGCTGTCCAAACAGTGCTTCTGAGAGGTACTACTGCACACTCACAGTCAGTGAGTTTCCTAAGATGTGCTCTGCATAACATATAAGACCTTAAAATTGCTTTTTTTTTTTACATGTAGAAATTTTTTTCTAAAAAATTAGTATGAGTTCCCAAAAAAAAGTTTGAGATATTTAAGCAAATTCTTTTAAGAAAAAGATTAACATAGAATTTTTTTTCCAATTGCCGTAAATTATGTGATTCTATATTCCTTTTGGGGGAAAGAATTCTTTATGAACTTGGCTTCTGTGTTCCCTTCACATTGGGGTAACTTCTGCTTAAGCAGGAAAAACTTGGGTTCGTTGATAGCATCTTGAAGTCTGGGTATTCCTGTGCAAGTCAGCAGAACAATTTATGTAGTTCATGTGTATTTTATTTGATGTACTTAAATACGGTTTCACATTTTACAGATTTTGTTAAGATAAAAACCATTCTCAGTTAAGATGATCCAGCTGATTTCTATTTGGCCAGTTATTTTGAATATTTGAAAGACTTTGCAGAAGTATGTGTTCTATAACAACAAAGCAGATATTTATTTTCCCTTATCCAGAAGCCAGATTTTCTGGCCATGTGGACCCTACAAACCCAGCTTCACCCACACATAATAGGAAAAGAATCTATATCCTATGTTACACAAGCCAAAAGCCACATTGGAACTTGAAGTCTCCCTTTTTACCCCTATATCAAGACTCTAACACATCTGGTTTCTGGTTTCTCTCTCCACCATGGATGAGAAACAGAAAAAGACAGGAAAGGAGAGAATGTTACCGGGAATCCTTACTGGCACGCATGTTGCTTTCCATAAGAAATCACCTTTGACATCTAAGAAGACAAAGCTAATGTGGCCTGAGCAGTACTTGTATTCCAGCATAGTCTCAGTAAGGATGGTCACAGGGGCCTTTGGCCTTCCAGGAAACAAGTCTTATGGCTTCTGTCTTAAGACCCAGAAAAGTAGTACAAGGCCTTAAAAAGAACAGTGTGTCCCTCTAGAATGGTGCTAATGAATGAAGCCTCCCTGGTACTATCATGGAACTTTGATCTAGCGCCCTAGAAAACTGACTATATGGAATTCTTAATTGTTGTGTATAAATTGAAGTATATTATTAGTTGCTTTTTGGGTATTCGTTTCTGTGGGTATGTACAGAGTAGTAAATAATACAAAAAATTCCCCCTGCATTTGTTGTTTCATTAATAAATAGAATCAAAAGCAACTTTAAAATGTTATTCTTTAAAACTAGTTCATTCTCGAGTCCCAGATGTAGATCACCTGAATTTTATTGCATGCATTCACAGGCAAAAAACTGTCTGATCTGGAACGAGTTACCTCCCTGAAAGTATATAATTGGTTTGCTAATAGACGGAAGGAGATCAAGAGGAGAGCCAATATCGGTAATGTATCAGAACAGTTGCTTTCTTGTGTGAGAAAATTCCGGACATCATGTTTATTTTAGGAGTGACTTCAATTTAGGAACTGTAGGTTTAAATCACCCTATGTTTTCATTTTTTAATAACCCAAAGTTAGTATTATTTACATTATTTGTATTATAATAATGACATTGTTACTTATAAAATTCATTGTTCTTAATATTCTAAAATGTAGAATTAAACAGATTCTGAGCAATTGATTGCCCCATGGTACAGATTAAAGATGCTGGTAGGGTTTAGAGAGGAATTGTGATGTGGTCTAAACCTGTTTGTTATTACCCAGCGCTGGCTTAGATATAGCCAATACCAGACTAACAAAATTGGAATAGACAGGGACACAGCAAAAGGCAGTGATAGGCTGTGAGTGTGGCTCAGTAAGGAATGCTTGTCCTGCACATTTAAGGCCCTGGGTCTGATCCCCAACACTGAAAAAGGAAAAAAAGAACATTAAGGGGTTTGAATGCTGGATTTAACCCTTTCACAATGTATAGAGATCTCAAAATGTCTCATTGTACACCATAAATATATACCTCTCCCCTCAGAACTGAGGATTGGACCTGAGGCTTTCTCACTGAGCTATATCCCCTGCCCTCCCTGCCCTGTTTGTTTGTGACAGGGTTTTGCCAAGTTACCCAAGTTGGCTAAAACTGGTGATCCTCCTGTTTTAGCCTCCTTAGAGTGCTGGGATTAGAGGTGTGTGCCACCATGCTCAACTAAATATATAGTTTTATTTGTAATATATACATTAATAATAGAAAAATAGGAAAAAGAAGAAAATGCTGACACAAAGAAGAACTATGAATATAAACTGGAAAAAAATACAGCCTTTCTTCCCATTTAGGATACACAAAAATGAAAAACATTTGAGTTGTTGACATAGGGATAGAGCATTGGTTTTAAGCTTCTAAAGATACATTTCATTCATAAACACACTTCCAGTTCATCACTGTAGTTCTCAAATACTTTACAGAACACCAAGATGGGTGAGCCGTTCAGTTATTAGCAAACTGTATGAAACAGTTCACAGTGAGACGGCCAGTGTCACGTATGGAGCCTCCAGAGTGGGAGTGTGTGTCCCCCCAGGTTGCAGGCATTAGAATTTCACCCATCTGCAGTCTCAGAACCAAGATGTCCCAGTGTGAGTGATGACATCCTAATTCCCTCAGCACAGAAATTGTGCGGTGCCATTATGATAAGGCATATTCGCTTTTGCTTTTGCTTTTGTCGAAGAAGCAGCAATCCTGGAGAGTCATGGGATAGACGTACAGAGTCCAGGCGGCCATTCCAACAGTGATGACGTCGATGGGAACGACTACTCTGAGCAGGTGAGCGGCTGGCTTTGGGCCGAGGTTCCTGGGACTGAGTGGTGGGACAGGGTGACAGCCCCGTGAAGGCGTGGGGTGTGGGTGACAGGGTGGGGAGGGGTGGAGAACAGTTAGTGTCCCTCTCTCTGCTCATGTGTCTAGTTAGATTGTCATGTAATTTGAAAGGAATGTGGTAAGATTCAGTTGTCCTGCTGACTTTGAGAAATTGCTATTCCACCCACATGGATTTATTGTCATACAACAGGATACTTGGCAAGTACGCAATGGGGAGGAGGAGGAGGGAAGAAGTTCAGAGGGAGGCAGAGAAGCAGAGAAGGTAGAAGAAGAGAGGAGGATCTGATCCAAACAAGCAAGTTACACCATTCACCACACACACTCAGTGTTTGAGAAGCACTAGGGGCAGCTGGGCAGCCGTGACCCCTGCCCACACATGTACTGGAGCAGGGCACAATGGGAGGCCCACCCACTCGGCCCCATTGCAGCGAAAACCCTGTGCCCGGAGGCATGGTTCCTCCAGTCTCCGGCACCTTGACACCTCGCATCCTCATACACACGACACCCGCATGCCTGCTCATCTCGCCTGTCCTATTCTGCATTGCTTGGGGAAAATGTATTTAACTGTAGCCACTGCATGGAGTGATTCAGTAACTAAGCCTGTGGGAGCTCTGCCCCCACATACATGTTGACAGATTTCATTACAGTTTTTATAGAGTTTAAGTTTCATTTCCATTTGGAAAGCATGGGCAACATATGGTCCCTTCCTCAGACTCCAGCCAGAAAGCTTTTGCTCTTTCCTGTGGTCGTTTTCCTGGCCCCTCAGCCAGTTAGTTTGTAAATGTAGCCCACTGTGTTCTTCTGCCTCCCAGCTGCTTGACAGCCTGTTTATCAGCTGGTACTCAGCCGTTCTGTGAGTGAGTGGAATTCCAGGCAAATCCCCCTTTGAGTCCTCAAGACTAGTCTGTGAAAATGGGAAACAGTAGTCCACATGCCCCCTTAGGACTCCAAGTCATAGCCCACCTTTACTCAGAGAATGTTTTGTCTTTCTAGTTGGCAACATTCCTGTTAGTTTTCAATCACCCACTACAGATGGATCATTTCCATCTTTTTTTGCAGATGCCCTGAGGGTAGCACATCCCGTGCTTTTCCCCCAAGGGACTTTCCCTTTCCAAAACTCTTTGAAGATGTGACAGGTGAGAAACGCACCCCTTGTGTGACACCAGCTTTCTTCACACCCTCATTGTTTATCGAGTGCACCTTGAGGGAAGAGGTTGGGCTCTCAGTCAGACTCCTTTGCACCCTTGGCAGGAGTGCACCACTGCTTCCCGTAGCCATTTAGGTGACATCACTTGTCTCCCAACTGAGAGCTCACATTTTTCTCTTCTCTGTAAGATGTTGGTGCCTGCAGTTGTCTCTAGCTTTCTCAGCTCAGTAGAGAAATAACCATAGATTCTCATAACCTATTTATAAGTATAAATCCAGGATTTAATAGCTTCAGTGATTCGTGCTATATTTGTTTTAACAGAAGATCCAAATTGTTGGCTTTGTATGTGTCAATCCAGGTTTGATGACCACAAGCAATGCTTTTGATGGAATGAATACTTGGTGATAAAAAGTATTTTTACTCTTTACCTGTTCAGTCATAAAAATGTCAACAAGGAGTCTGTGAACCGAAATCCATTCAGTGTCTACTTAAATACAGTTCACCTGCACTCTGCCATGAGGTGCTCATCACTTCTTCCACGCGGTTCTCCTCCCAGTGGCCCTGCATGCCTCTGTGAGCTGGAGGACTGTGCCATCCACTAATAACATGGCTTTCTTCTTTCTGCATATCTAGGATGACAGCACGAGCCATAGTGACCACCAAGACCCCATCTCGTTAGCTGTGGAAATGGCAGCAGTCAACCATACTATCTTGGCATTGGCCCAACAAGGAACCAACGAAATCAAGACAGAGGCCCTGGATGATGACTGATGAGGGAGGGCAGACACAGTTAACTTAGTTTAGACGTAGCACCTTAGCAGACTTTCCTTGGTCCTTAACATGTGTTCTTACAGTATAACTTGCAGTTTCTTGTATGTCAGGTAGCCGTTAGGGTCTTGTTCTGTGAAGATGGCATGGTGCCCTCAGCCTTTGCATATACTCTCTCAGTATTAATTCCCAGTAAATAATAACCAACCAACCAAACTTCCCTGTCCCAGCCCCCGAGGCTAGAAAATCTTGCTGCTCCGTCTTAGCATTCCAAAAAAGTGCTTCCAGGTATTTAGATAGACCTCAGTTCTCAAGTATTAGGCTGTGTGTAAAATCTTGGGTACCTTTAGATACATGTAACACTAGTCTGTACCCCTTTTCCTTCCCCAGACTGATAGGATGCAAGCTGAGGCAATGGCACAGGATTGACAGACACCACTTGGGGAGTATCCAGAGCGAAAAGAACACTAGAACCCCACCTCAGCGTGAGAATCACTGATTTCAGCTGCAATAAGCCGTGCCTCACAGTCACACTGTGGCTAGACTACACTTCTTTGGGTGCTGTGCTAAGAATGTCCATGCGAACTTGAGCTCAGATCTGGTTGGTGTTAACATGCCTGACACAGATATCCTTTCCTCTCACAAGCTGTGTGTAACCTAGTAGATAAAATACTGCCTTCAACCTTTGGGACCATGATTCAAAACAAAACAAAAAAAAGTTATGGAAAAAACAAACCCAGCTTGAGAGCATTGGAAAAAGTGTGAGCTGAATGTCTAATGGATGCTAAGTCCAGTCCTCAGAATCACTGTACATTTCATGGCACAGTTACCAATGCCTGTCTGGAAAAGTCTTGGAGGTTGTCCTGGTGTCCTCTTTCCCTGCTACCAAAAAGTCTTTCAAGGATGGAGCTAAGGTCAAAAATGAGTAAAAGAACGCAGTCTTTGTATCCATTAGCAGAAGCCCCCTCAGTCTGAATCGACGGAGGACTTAAGGGATTTTGCTGACTTGACTATCACAGATGCAAACACTTGCCTAAATAGGAGCAGAAAAAAGCAGGGGACATTCCCACTTCACTGTGGGTATGCGAGACACAGTGGGACGTGACTGCTTTCTTGTTCTCTTTACTCTGTCCTTGTAGAGGTGTGAAAAGCTATATTGCTACAGGCAATTTATTTAATAATTGGAAGCCATATTGATAATGGATGTGGTAATATTTGTAAAGTTTAATCTACTTTAAGCAGCAGTAACTAATGGAATTTTTTTCCTTGATCACATATGTAGCACTTTTGTTACTTTTTAAAGATATTTATATTTGATAAATCTTTTTTTCATTTTGAGAACTCAAAATACCAAACAGTGAACTTGTGTTACAAAGTCACCCTGTGATCACCTTGTCATCTGGTAGCAAAATGAACTATTCATGCATCCCAGAAAATTACATCTGCTGGCCTTGTATGAAAATGATCTCCTGATATCCGACTGAATGACACACCGTCGCTGTGGGTCAGAAGCAGCAGCCTGCAGTGCAGAGGTTCGGGGCAGCGCAAGAGGCCGGCAGCCGCGCCTGTCCTGCCTGCTTCCACCCCTTCTGTGTGTGTCTGAGGAAGCCGCAGGTGAGGGGGAGGGCGCCGCTGTTACACGAGGCTTTTGTCTTTGTCCATTACTGGAAAGTCTGAGGTAGAAGGGAGATGCCATTTCCTCACCCCCACCTGCCCTCCCCACACTGCTCAGCCTGACTGGAGAGAGACTCCTGACCTTCCTTGTGTCTCCCTCCCTTGTTGGGATGCTGCGCGCCTGCCAGTTCTCAGCTGGTCTCTGCACTTACGGCAACACTGACGCGATCATTCCCTTAGCTGCGGAAGTCTCTGTGAGGGCATGAGTGTGCCACCTTCCTATGTCTGTGACTTAAAAGAATGAGGGCGAGGCCAGATCCTGCCCTGTCCCTGGATTTCAGGGGGGAAATGTACACGTTTTCCCCAACTTCCAAGAGTCGAAGTGAAATGAAGCCGTCTTCTCTGTGTTACTGTATTACTTGAACCAACGAATTCAAGAGTAGCATTTGTTATTCTCAGGAATGAGTCCCCCACACACTCCTCGGATTGTTTATTGTACTTCTATTTCTGTCGTGAGATTCTGTTATCTTCCTTTCCTCTTATTTTACTTAGAAGAAATGTCTTTCTCTCCAGTTTGGTGGAATTTTGTCTGCTTATTCTCAGTTGAATCAGAAAGAACACGGAGGGGGGGAAAGTGTATTCTCTGACAAGCCGCATCCGTGATTTATTGTCCGTCAGGAGATTATTATAATTGATAGCTTCTTTAGGATGGGATTCCTAGTGTCATTTGTTTGCTAGTCTTTAAAGGAACAGACGCAAACTGCTAAGCCAGCTGTAGTTTCTAAAGAAATCCAGTGATTGCCAGGGAAGAGCTGAAATGCTTTGCTGTTTTAAGACTTATGAGGAGGGAAAGTACAAGGGAGAGTTAAGAGGGGTTGGCATCTGCAGGGTGCACTGGGCGGGCTGGCCATGGTGATCCCGCAGGAGCAGTGCTGCCAGGGCAGGACAGGACGTCATTTGCTAAGCTGGTGGGGGGGGGGGGGGCGTGGAAGGATGTCCGCCCACAGCTCTGGTGACTGGTGACACCTTGAACTGTTCTGCTTTTTTGGGATCCAGATTTAACTCTCTTCTTTGGTTTTCTGTTTGTCATCACCAGGTTTAGTTCTGCTCTGTCTTGTCCAGACTACCTTAGTGCTTGTAATGGTAGATACAGCTGCCACTGTTTGGTTTCTAGTATTTTGGGTGGGAAATCTTTTCCCTGAGCCTTTTCAGGTTTTAGGTGTAGTATTAAAATAGAAAGTCACATCCCATGCTTCTTGGTGGCTCTGAACCCACTGTCGCTTTTCTCCTTCAGGCCCCAGAAGACTCTTAGAGCCTTGTTCCCTTCTAGTCAAGAAAGACTCTTTCAAAGTGTGGGGTGTATTCATGTAATTCATCTGTCCTTTTTATTTAAAGATACTGTAATTGAATTACTGTAGTCACATGCAAGCTTTCCCCTAACCCTCTCACAAAGGTCCTCATCCAAGGCATTTTCAGCCTGTATGCGGCCAGCGCCAACAGTGGGCAGAAGTAGGTGGGCAGCACAGCAAGGACACCGCTGACAGCGCCTAGTGCTGCTCAGTGCCACACAGACATTCTGATCCATTCCAGCAGGGCTGGAACACTGGAGTACCCCATCAGGCAGACTGCCTCGGCCTCGACCCCTGACGTGCCCTGCACAGGATGAGGCAGCCTTTCCAAGGTCCCTTTCACCCCAGCAGCGTGGAGGGGAGGGAGCAGCTCGTTCATGCTGGAGTCGGCAAACCTGGTGCTCCAGTGGGCAGCAGATTTGCTTTCAGTAGGACCTGTTTAGTCCCGATGTCTGGGTGGATTCTTACCTCAAAGAGTCAGTCATGAAGAATCTGCTGAGAGCTGTTTGCACGCTCCCACTTTGGCCTTCATTTTCAGGAACTCCTGTCAGAAACGCACCTCCTGGATACCCAAGGTAGGCAACGAGTATCAGACTCAGTCAGCAGCCTGCCATCGCTTCTCTCCATCTCCCAACAGTGCTCTGTTTCTCTGGGCTCCGCTGCTGTGTCCTGGTCTGGAGTTGGCTTTGCTAGAGACTGTCTTGTGCAGCAGGCAGGGGTGCTGCTCCTGCTTGGTAGCACCCTCTTCAGCTGCCTGAGAACACAACATGCTGTCCCATCCCGTGAGGCCTGGCTCCCCAAGCAGCCGGCAGTCCTGGTGTGGCCCACAGCTGCGGGGATGACCCCTTCCACACAGACGCTCACCACCCTGTCCTGAGAATGTGAACTTCCAGCCCTAACCCCTCTCTGGCCCTTAGAAGGGTTTAGTTAGAAGAGTCTTCCCATCTAACTCGTGGCTCTGCCTCTTAAAAATGCTTTTTATCATTTGTTCAGAGCACAACCAGAGTGTTTTTCCCCCCCGTAAGCCTCAACAGATTCGTAGGCAATAATTTTTCTTGTGGTGATGATCTTGTGCTCAGTAAAGTCTGTCCACACAAGTACTCCTGACCTCCCATGGTGTGCGTTGGTTTCTGTGTTCACCTCTGTGGTTTAAATGTTAAGCCAGAGCAGTCATTTTGTTGTTGTGATCATCGCTGGTTTCACTACTGTGTTCTTGGGGCTGCATCGAGACCAGCCAAATGTATTGATAGCTTTACTGAGCCGGATCTGTTTGTCCAGATTTTCCGGGTGAGGGGCTCACAGCAGCTGTGCCGTGGGGCTGGCCTTCCCTGTGCATGTTCCCTAACTAGCAAGCCGCGCGCTCAGGCCTTGGGGTTGGCTGCGGGCACACCGAACCTGGCAAGTGGAGCCTTGTGCCCTGAAGCCCTGCCACTGGCCCTTGGTTCCAAAGCGTCGGGCTGGTGTTGGCACCGTACGGGCGCCCGCCTTCCTGGCTTGGCTGTAGAGACGCCACTCGCTGCAGACTTCTCATGGCGGAGCCGGCCCAGGCTGCGGAAGCGCCTCCCCTCCCGCCATCGGCAGGTGCTGTGCCCAGGCCGCTGGCCGCCACTTCTGGACCACCTCAGCCCCCGCTAGGTCTGACTCCTCTCAGAAACGCAGCCCCGCGGGTTTGCGGTGGAAAGGGTTCCTGTTTCCGTGTGGCCTTCGTCACTCTTGGGTGGAGTGAGAACAGTGACTCTTGGGGGGAGTGAGAACAGTGAGGAGCAAGCCAAGCCGAGCCCACTGCCAGTAGTGCTGGATCTCTAGTCGGAAGGGAGGGCGCAGGAGAGCAGTGGAGGGCAGCCTGGGGCGCCCTGCTCACCGGCCAGCGCGGACGGAGGTCAGGCTGTGGGAGTGCCCCAAGCTAACGTCTTCAGCACTCTTCACCTTCGGGTGGAGGCCGTGCCGCTGAAAGCTGCCTGGTGCTTCTCCACCGCCTGACTGCACCGGGCAGGCTCCAGGGCCAGTGCTCTCTGCTGTCCCCGCTGGTGGGTTTACCCTGTCTGTCCTCCAGCCGCAGCCATGCCCCGGGGCTGCCCCAAGTGCCGCACCTGAGAAACCCGTCCGGACTCCATGCTGCTTTCTCGCCTTTAAAAAGACTGGCTGTGTATAGCTGTAATTAACTCAGATTCACACTGGTGTGCTGCGATCAAAGGGAGCTTTGGCTGAATCTTTGCAAATTGTAACCATGGTAATTGAAGGGGTGGCACAGAATGAATGCATAAAAATATAATGGCGATTGTTCTGAATGACTGAGTGTCCTCCTGACATGTAATTAGCTGTTTGAGCAGGATGTAGATTGGCATGGTCTTAATTAAGAGGATTTCTGTCCTTGTGTGATTGAAATAGCAGCGCTCCCCTCCCCCGTTTCCCTGTAGCACTGATGCTCCCGGGAACACTGGGAATGGCAGCATGGTAGACCTCGGTAATGGTGGAGCATTAATCTCCCAAGTGAAAGAGGGCCAGGAGCCTCGATGCCCACTCCCCATGGGACTTGTGAGCCTGCCGGCCACTCAGCGTGACACAGCCAGCTCCACCCTGAGCAGCGACCAGGCAGAGGCCCAAACTGAGGCCGCCAGCCGGCCATGTCATGCGCTCCCCACACACCTGGGCTTTTCAGACTCCTCTGGTCACTTGATGTCACCATCGCCACCATGGTCACCAAATGGCAGTGTTGGATCTTAAGATCCAGAGCAGACAAGCTGACAGGGACACAGATGTGATAGACTGGACCGCTGTGCTGCCGTCGTGGAAGCCGAAGGGCACTCGAGTGTGCCCGGCCTTCCTCACACCATGCTTGCCCAGCGGGCGCCACCCTCCTCACGTCAGCCTCACTTCAGCCGTGCTCTCCGTGCCGTGTCCCGATTTACAAGCTCCCTTCTCTCACTCCGGCCTCCCCACTCTTCTGTGACCCTGGCCTGTCAGGTGGTGTGGTTGTGACACCTGCAGGGTCCCTGGCCTAAGCCTAACCCATCCCGAGGCCTCCCTGGCAGGGGAGCTCCTCCTCACTCGCTAGTCTTTTTCTGCAGTGTGGTGGGGTCTTCCCATCACTTACGGGAGCAGCCAAGGGACTTTTTACCCGCTTCCTGCCCAGCAGGCCTGTGGGGCATGTGGGTGAGCCGGGCCCCGCCCTTCCCTGGGCTACACGTGGGATTGGATGGCAGCCACTGAGGAAAGTGTGGCTCTGGCTTTTGCTCCTGTTTTGCTGCTTGCCCTTGTGCAGGTCTCTCCTTTCCCCAGCAGCAGGAGCCCTGGGCTGTGGGATGCGCGGTTACAGTGCCCTATTCACCTCCACCTCCAGACAACTGGTGTACAGGAAGCGCTTCTGGCCTGGGATTGTAGCTGTGCCCTCCCCAACACCTGCAGTGGAAGGGTAACGGCTCTGATTAGGGCAGATCCTCTCCCCAAAAGGCCACCTAGAGACGGAAAACTGAGCAGCTGTGGTAATGTGGTGCCCATGAGACACTCTTAAGGAAGCCAGCAGATGACCCGAGATCTGCTCCCGCTCAGAGGATGCAGGATCCATGCTGTAGTTGGTGCCCCAACTTGTGCCATCTCAGGCTTGGAGTACCAGATGTGCTGGAGACGCCACCTGCTCCTTGTGTCCCCAGAGGGCACTGTGAACCAACCTCCTTACAGCCAATTTTCCTTTTCCACCAGCAGCCCTGCCCCACCAGGGAAAAACCACCTGAGGGAATCAACAAAGATACATCGTGCTACCCTGAAATACCTAGTTGTGGGCATGTGGAGCAAACTGTCCAGATGCCACCATTCCCAGTCAGTGTCATAGGAGCCAGGCACGGCCCACCTGAGCAGTGCCACCCCAGCTGAAGCCTGCGGCACCTTGCAAGAAGGCAGTCAGCTCACTCGCCACTGCTTCGAGGAAGTCACTCCCAGCCTGCCTGGTATTGCCAGCACATTGCACTCATTACTGTCCCAGGGGAGCCAGAAGGGGACAGAGACCCTGCAGCCTGGCTTTCTCCACAGACCTTCCCGAGCCTTGCTGCTTGGTCATCGAGGTAACGAACACAGGGACATAAACTGCTGGCTGTGTCAGGACGTGAGAAAATCGCAGGTGGCAGTCGCCCATCTGGGCAGTTGCTGGCATCCCAGGTGCTTGAGCTCTCAAGCTTGAGCAGAGTGTGCTGCTGTCCTTGCCACAGTAGTGACAGTGGCCAGGTGGGTTCCAGTGCCCCTGGTGCTGTGTCAGTGTCCGCCCTGTCGTGGCTGCTTCTGCTGCTCCTCACCAGGAGTGCAGGCTGAAGTCCAGCCTAGGGACCTCTAAGATCGGAGTCCAGGACAGCAGGCTCCCCCTGGTGGGGTTGGGCCCTGCCCTGGGCCATGTGGCGGCTCAGATTTACTGGTCAGGGAACTGGACAAGGAACGTAGGCCCCAAGCTGACCTGAAGGCCTGTGAACACTCTACGCCTTCCTTCTGACCTTTCTGGTACTGCAGAAACAGGAGTTGGTAGTGTTGTAACCTCTCTATCCTTGCCTGGTGCCCGTGAAGTTCGAGAAAGGAACAGGCCACAGCTTGGAGCGGTCGCCACAAGGGACCCTCTGGGGGTGAGTTAGGGACAAAAGATGCATTGAGCCACAGCCAGCCAGTGAGGTTCAGCCTCCCTTGAGGATGTCTTCCAGCACTTCAGGCCGTCTGAATTTGAGTCTCCTGTGTGGTGCACAGAACGAGTTCCCAGTTTTGCCTTTCTGGAGGAAAGAGCCCTGCACACACTTGTGGAGTCATGTGCCGCTTTGCTGTTCCCTGAAGCTGTTATGCTGGAAAACGAGCATGAATGCTCTTAGGGTGGCTACCCCACGCCCGGCGTTTCAGGCAGGGGGTATCTGCTTCTGGCCAGCCTTGAGACCCCAGGTGCTCTACTGGGCTAGGCGGGCACCAAGGAGACAAAATCAAAGTGGGTGGGCAGGGCTTCTCCCTCACACTCCAGTTTTGCCAAACCCAGCTACGTAAAGCCCGTTCTTTTTCCAGCGATTTATTTCGTCACACTTGAGTGTGCAATAGCACCCAGGCATCACCTGCACCTCCTGCCACCCTGTCCATACTTTTGAGGGCCCACCTGCCAGCTCAGTGGCCCTTAGCCAGCTTGTCCCCCACTGGCATCTGAGGCCTACCTGGCCAAGCCTGCCATCCTCCTGCGCCACAGTCACATGGAAAGCAGCCCCTTCCCAGGACGAGTTCTTGTTTAAGTGCCTAAGTAAGCCACAGACCTCTGGACCCTGCCAGTTAGCGCTGCCCTGCCCACCCCCGCTCAGCCTGGGGCAGGCACCTCACCCCCAGATTCCCTGCCGTTCTGCAGGCAGAATGGCCCAGCCTGGGGGTGGGGAGGGCTCTTGGGCTCATCAGGAGGCTCCGTCACTGGTCACTGGTCCCGCTGGTTCTGTGGATCCTCTGAGGTTGTAGACACCTTTCAGGCATCCGCTTAGCTAGAGCTCAGTGGCCACTGCAGACAGGAGTGCGGGACAGCCTGGAACCAGAAGTCTGTGTCTTAGCCGTGGGGTGGTATCCAGACTCCACAGCAAAGCATGACTCGCCCCAGTTGGGGCCACCTGCCCCTCTGGCTCTAGACGTAGGGGACAGGGTGCCTGCTGGCAGGGCCACCAGTAGGCGTCAGCCAGATACAATGTGCAATCTGTGCAGGTGAGTGTGTGGCTGTTCGCTTCTTTTGAAGGTCATAGAAGTGACCTAGATTTGGGGCCTTCGTTATGTGGGGAGCACAGGACAGATGACTCCGACCGTGCTTGCTCAGATCCCATCGCCAGCAACTCACTGATTTGTGGGTATGTTAAAAGGTTTTGCAAAATGGAACAATCCATACCCCGGCACTTTATTTTCATTACTAATCCAGCATTTTTGTTCAGACAGTGGTATAGCCCAAACATGGCATCTGCTTGTGACACGCGTGGGCGAGCACATTCCTCAGAGCAGGGCAGTGTGGAGAGCGCACTGCTGTGGCCAGGCCCTCAGTCCCGTGCGACTGAGCAGAGATGAATGTAGCTGAGGTCCTGGCTAGGGGCAGACCCAGCAGCGGCAGAGGGCCTGGCTGCTTGTCCCTTCCTTGCAGCCACACTACAGTGGGAGCAGAGTGCCAAGCCACGGCTCCATCTCGCTCTGTGTGCAGCTGGGTCCTGGGCCCAGCTGGCACAGAGGACACAGCGTGCCTGAGGTCGCATAGGGTAGCTCTCAGCTGAGGCCGTGGCTGTCCTGTCTTTGTCTCGGTTCCCCTCTGGTGTCTTCCCTGGTCTCTGTCCTCACCTTGTGTACCATGTGTCCCTGAGGGCGTCACACCTGTGTCTGAGTCTGCTGTAAGGTGTTCAGTCTACCTCAAGGGTCACCATGGTAAGCTCTCACACGGAACCCTCCTTCCATGCCACACACTGGAATGTAGCCCGCCTACCCCATGTCTCCTTGTAATCACCACAAATCCTAGTGCAAATTGGATGCTGCTTTAAATGTGAAAACAATTGTTCAAAAGCTATAAAATCTGAATGAAAGCTAAAGCTGAATTTATAAGCCTTGTTGCATATGAGCCAAAAGTGCAAAAAGCTCTATATAATGAACTAACCTGCCACTCGTATAAATATAAATATATATAAATATATTAAAATCAGACTGTTCTACAAAATTGTGTATTTGTATTTTTGTGTACGTACAATTTTCTGCTAAGCAGAAGGAGGACGTAGTATAGGATGCTGTGAGAAGAGATTTGGTTTAATCCTATTTCTTTGTTACTTATTTTTGTTAACATCAGATGCCTGTCTCCGTCTTCTGTGTATGTCACTGTTTGGAAAGCTGCAGTATCTCTCTTCTGTAGGGCCAGATTCTGGAGAGAATCAAGTCTGGACCTTAGAGACTTGTGGCCACTTGACACAGAGAGGGGACCATTTGTGGTCCTGAGGTGGCGCTGAGGCAGCCCGGGACCCCCATGGCCCAGTGGGCTTGGCGTCCTGCCTGCCCCTGGGAAGCAAAACCACTATAGAAAACGACTTCCCGACAGGTGCCGCTGGCTCCCTCCTGTGCAGACTCCCCAGGGTCTGTGAAGGAGGGACACAGGCTGTCCCCAACCAAGACAGGGTTGCTTGCTGCCCCTGGGAGCAGTAGGGGATTCTGCCTGGCATGGCACCCCACTCCCCCAAGCCCTCGCTGCCTTCCTCGATCAGGGGCCTCAGGCCTCCTGCCACTCCTCCGCCAGACCCCAGCCTGGTCCGGAGCATCACCAAACCCACTCTGCCGGTGCTAAACTCAAGAGGGGGACCGTGGCCACGAGGCTGCCCAGGACCACCAGCCGGGCTGGGGCGGGTGCTCCCCCAGGGAGAGCGATACTGCAGCTTCGCCCATAGGACTCGGCCTCGGCAGTGCGGGATGACTGTAGTGGGGAGCCCTTGTTTCTGGGTGGCAGCAGTCAGAGAAACAAGCGCTCCATTGTATTGATTAAAATAGTTCCAATGAGTCCTGTATCATTGTATCTCCTATTCTGGATTAGTGCCTTTTGGACAGTAGACTGTTCTGTAATTAAAATGTAGTATACTGCTTTTTTGTACAGTTTTGTTTTAATAAAACTTTTTTTTAATTTGTGTTTATTTTAGTATTGTACCTATTAGAGAATAAAATGTATAACGGAATCAAAGCTGCCTGGGATTTCTTTGGGTCTGGCTGAATGAATGCTCGTGTGCAGTGTCCGACACCACAGGGGACGCAGGTCCCTTTGGGCTTAGGCATCCAGCCCGGAGTCGTGAGGAAAGGATCAGGACACCAAGTCCCGCCGGTGGAGTGGGTGGCTCTGGGAAGTCCTGCCTCCTGTCTGTACCCCCACCCACGGTAACCCTCAGGGACCCTTCAGGGGCCCCTAAGCCACCTGCCCAGCGCCTGCAACCACTGATTTCTACATGAGCATGGCCCACCTGCACCCTCCCTTGATTCCTCCCCATCCTCCTTTACAGGAGCCTCCTGGGGCTTCACCCAAAGCAGCAACAGCTGTCGCCCACTTCTCACAGGCTTCCAGTGCTGTCACCCAGCCCCTCCCCAAGCTCTGCCTGCCCTATCAGTCTCTCTGCGAAAAGCTCCAAAGTCCAACGCCATCCCCTCCCAAACAAACCCCAAGTAAAGGGCCTTTTCTCTTCCCTCAGTGCACGCTTTAAGACCATAAACCGCTGCCAAGTGGAGGCAGCAAGGACTGGCACTGGGAGCAGAGCACAAAATGGGTGGCCCCCACCCCCACTCTGCTTTGACCCCAAACTGCTATCTAGGCATAAGCAGGAGCTCTGACCTTCATCCCACAGCCCGCCCTGTCCCCAATCTAGAATACCCAAAGCACAAGGCAAGGCCAGGAGAGGTGCAGACATTTCTGTACAGCACGTGGACAGTGACCCATGTCACTCTGGGGCTGAACAACTAAAAACCCCAGGGCCTGATGCTGACAACAGAAGGCCACAGGGTTACGAGGAAGCCACAACATCCTACACGTGGAAGCAGAAGCATTTGGCCCCATCCACAGCCCTGGCTCCTTCCAAGCAGAGCCCCTCCTGGCTGCCACACCTGTCCCTGTCAGGCAGCTGTGCACTGAGACAACTGTCCTGCACTTGGGAATATAAATGAGCCCTGCATAGACGCGCTCACTCACAGCCTCCTCTGTCAGGGGGCTGTGGCCCACGTCCGCAAGGACCTTGTGACAAAAGGGGCCCTTTGCATGAAGCCACATCAAGTCCAGGGCTGGCCTGGGGGCCCCCCTGCAAGGCCTGACAGAAGAGGCTTTTGCCCAGCCCACAGGCCACACCCACCACTCTTCTGTGCTCTGCTGGGCATGTAGCTGGAGGTCTGCAAGAGGTGGCTTCACCAGCACACAGGACCACCGAGACAAACGGCAAGTTTCACTGTCCCCTGGGATTTGACCAGGCCCTCCCAGCAGGCCACCACCACAGGCTTCATCCCCATTCCCGAAACTCCCTGTCCCAGAACTCTCTGCAGTCTCTGTGCCTGGCCCAGTGTGGAGTGGGTCTGTCACACAGGCTGGGTGTGCTGGGGACAGTCACTCTCACACGCTGGCTCCCGATTCCTGGCTCTTGAGCCTCCAAAAGTTCCTGGTTTCTATTTGAGGCTGATTCATGTGACGAGCTGCAGACTAGCCACACTGTGGGTGTCCCGGGCCCTGGGCTCCATCCTGGTCAGCTCAGCCCCAGGGGTGTGCCCAAGGGGCCACTGTTCCCACACCTGCTCCTTCTGGTCTCCATCCAGAAAAACCCCTGGCCACTGTGGGGTGTGGGGCAGGGTCTGCCTGGAGCCTGAGCCGTGCTGGGGTTGGGAAGGAGAAGCAGTGAGGCAGAGCTCAGAAAGAGGCAAGAAATCATTTGGTTTTATTTAGAAGCGGCTGGTCATTTGGTGGAAAGGCACACACAGTACAAAATGACAGAGGTTTAGTCCATCAAAGTCTTTACAAGTCATTAGTCTTTGGATTTCTTTGCCTCCTAAAGTGTACCAAACAGGCTCACCCCAACCCCACTTCCTTACATGCGAACTCGCTGTATTTACAAATCCACACCCCAGCACACGAGGTCTGCAGCCTCTGGGGAGGCCCTGGGACTTCCTGAGCAGCTGCTTTAGGCACAGTGGCTGTGCCTGGCCCCAGGAGGATGTGAAGGGCCAGGTCTCCATCTGGCCGAGAGGCCTGGGCTACGGGGCTGGGACACAGGTGGCCCCAGGCAGGCGTAGGAGACATCAGCCCAGGGCTGCTCTGTCCACCACGAAGTCACCAGGGAGCGCAAGACCTTGGCGCCTTCTAAGGCGGGGCTGCCCTCTCTCTGAATTTGGGCCAGGGCTCTTCGGCCTCCCTGGTCTCACCTGAGTCCCCATCTGGGCCCCTTGGCCCCATACTGAGCAACTGCATCCTCATACAAGTCAGAGTCCACCTGCGCCCCTGGACAGGTTTCATATAGACACCATGGCTGCTGGCTGGGCCACGGGCAGGGCTGAGACCACTAAGGCCATCCATAAGGCAAGGGTGGCAGCAGTGACACTGCCCACTGTGGTCAGCATGACAAGTGCTCCTTAAAGGCAGAAGCGGGGGCACAGATCAAGGTGCAAGACCTGAGGGGTGGGAGCAAAGCCTGCAGGCCCTTGAGCACCAGGGCCGCTGCCCTCACAGGATCCCCTCCCCCAGCCCAGGGCTGCTTCCAAGGACACAGACAGGACCAGTCAACCCCCACCACGCTTCTGAAAAAAGCCCAGCCCACCCTCAGAATGTGGAGCACAGCCTGTGGGAGCTGCTGGCAATGAGGGGCGTCTGCAGGCCTGGGTGCTCTCAGGGGTCCAGAGCACCCATGGGACCCTGAAGCAGCAGTGTCCCAGGAAGTGAAGAAGGTTCCTAGGCACTGAGGATAGCAGGACAAGGGCTGGGCTGGGTTTGGGGCAACTGTGGGATGGGGGAGCAACGGAGGTGGCCAAGGCCCTCAGATCACGCCACTGGGCCAGGACCAGGCAGCCTGCACCTAAGGCACCAACAAGTTGCACTGCAAGCAGCCATGGTCCAGCACCCCTCAGGGCCTGCTCCCCAAGAAGTCACCCCAACGGGCCATGCAGCATGACGGCCCCACCCTGCCTGGTGACTGGCACTGCTCCCGCAGCACCACACAGCCGAGTTCCACAAGTCCATCACCAGGTACGAGCGACACCCCATGATCATGCTTCCACACAGCCTCTGGCCTGGCCTTCCTGGGGAGTTCTTGGGGTGCTGATTCCTCCCAAGACCGTGGGCCAACGCCATGCAAGGAACAGTTGGCACAAGACCAAATCCAACTTGTCCTGGCTTGTGCTGGTTGGGCGGGGCACACACGAAGCCCCACACACTGATGGTACTGACCACAGCTGTCCCCTAACTGCCAGCTGAGGACAAGCCAGAAGCCAAGTTAGTTCCTGCTTCTAGTAAGGGCTCCCCACAGATGGCCCCACTGTCCCTCAGGATGGTCTCCCTCCAGGTTCCTAAGCCCAAAGCCCTGGTGTCCAGCCTCAGCGCCTAGGAAACAGAAGACGCTGGTGTCCACAGCCTAGGTCTCATGCAGGACAAAGGTGGCTGCAACCACCCCACCCGGGGGTGGTGACACTCGTGGGTCAGTGACACTAAGGAAGCCAAGGCTATCAGCTGGGCCAGGGACCTGAGGCTCAGTGCTCTGAGAAGCCACTGCATGGGTCATACCCAGCAGAGCCAGGGGCCTGGCACCACTTCTTGCCACCCGCTCAGACTCCCGAGAACCAGGGATCCTGCCACTCGAGCTTTCTGTGCAGGTTCAGGAAGCAGAGAAAGCAGAAGCAGGCACTGAGGGGGCCCAGGCCAGACTCTGGTCCCCATTACACATGTTGTTCCCCACAATGAAGCTGACACCACAGGCTCAGAGGCGGAAGCCAAGCCAGGAGGACTCGAAGCTGGGCCTGGGCCCAGAGATGTCGCCAAGCTGCTGTCCCCACATGACTGCCTGCCAGGCTGCGGTCAGAGCTCAGGAACCACGGTGAGGTCAGCGCGGCTCAGGGCATCAGATACCCCACTGTCACCCCAGCAGGCAGGCCACCCTGTCCGGGTTAGCTCCCCTCACTGTAAGGTCACTTGGGTGTCTGCAACAAGGGAACCACCTCAGGCTGTGGCCAGGGACAAAGGCAGAAGCCTGGGCGGACACGACTAAGGCCCAAGAGGGATTTCAATCAGAAAAATAAATACAAATAAATATGTTCCAAGCGTCCTGCAAAGGGAATAAATGACGCCGGGACATCAGTGACCTGTGGGACAGGATGAGCAGATGCATTTAAGGAGCTGGCACTTGGGGAAGAGGGCAGAGGCCTCGCTCGGCACAGTGAGGACGGCTAGGGCTGGGGTTTACATTAAGACATTAGTGGAGTCACAGAGTGGAGAACAGGTGGGCATCATAGAACCCAGCAGGGATGCCCCAGCCCAGGTGGTGCAGCTAGGGCCTCGGCCACCGTCCCACAGCCCCTCTGGGCTTCCACAAGCCGCCCTCTTCCACCCGAGGAAAGGAAGAAAGCAAAGCTTTTGGAGTCCCAGGGAGCCAGAAACTGGGGTGTCACCAGCCCTGTGTCATACAAAAATCATCCTTGGCCCCTCCCTGCTTGCCAGGCGCCTGCACTCAGCTGGCCCAGGACTTCCGGTTCTCCGTGTTCTTGGGGCTCCTGTCATCCTTGGCCAGCGCAGCCGTCAGCGAGGCCAGGTTGGTGGCTGAGCTGGAGAGAGTGGCACTCCGGCGGGCTTCGGGGGCCCCCTGTGCCCGGAGCCCCGCGCTGCGCCTGCGCCCAGCAGCCTGGGCCCTGCGCACCCGGGCTGGCCGCACCAGCAGCCCATAGCCAGGGTTGCACTTGAAGTACTGCTTCCCGCCAATTGAGCCGTCATTCTTTCCTGCAGGGAGCAGAGAAGGGACGTCAGGGAGGTGACCCGCTAACTGGCCCCTTCCCTCCCTGGGGCTTCACAGGCACTGCTGCCTGGGACCAGGGCACATGGGCACAGGGATGGCACCCCGAGTCCTGAGGTCCCATGGAGGGAAATGCAGAAACAGTGCTAGTTCCTGCCCTCTAGTGACACGGATGACTCCATCCAGATGGATGGCACAGGTGGAACGACCGGTGAACCTGCCATAGAGTAGTGGGCCAATTACTCAGTAGCGCTGGGTACCGAGGTGCAGCTGTAGGGGAAGCACTGAAAAGTCACGGACATCTGTACCAGAGGCCATCAGCGACGCAGCCCAAAGTCTGCAGCAAAACCGTCCAGCTCCTGCACCCTGCAACTCACACCCTCTGGGGTGCACGCAGCTGCTCCAGCAGCAGCAGCTCCAGCTCCCCCTCACAGCAGCATCTGCAACAGACCTCACCTCTCCTGGATCTGCCACCCCTGATCCAGAGCGGAAGAACTCCAACTGCCGAGTTCTCTCCCTCCTGGCCTGTCCAGAGCCAGCTGCTGGAGGGCCACGACTTAGCTCTCCTGGCCCCACGAAAGCCACAGTTCAGACCTACCGTGTCCCTAGTCTCACACGCCCAGGGGCAGGCTCTAGGGAGGTGATGACTGACTCATGGGCAGATTCATCCATGGGCGAGTTCACAGCCCATTGAGCTGTAAGCAGTGGGCTTGGCTGGAGGCAGCCACTAGGGTTACCAGGGAGGACATGCACTTGTCCCCAGCACTCCCCATTTCGTCCTGCTTCCTGGCAACCAGGGTGTGGAGCACCTTGTCTTCCAGGAGGACTGGAGCCAGCTGCCATGGATTGAACCCACTGACACTACACCTTGCCTCCTTTAAGTTATGGATGTCAGATATTTTGCACCAGTGACAGGACAGTTCAGGTACCTGAGGCCCCTCGCTGACGGGATCCCCATATGCACAAGACTCACGCTGGTGCTTACCTGCCAGGCCACGCAGTTCAGCCTGTCCTTGTACTATCTTGTACCCAGGCCTGGTCCTTGGCTTCTTCCTTTCTCAAGGACCTGTCCAACCCTCTGTCCACCAGCTGTAGCCTCCTGTCATCCAACTATGTCCACAACCTGCACGGCTACCACCCACTGAACCTTGATTCCTTTCCACTTGAGTATCTGGAGTTTGTTATTTTTGATTTTATTGGTTTCCTTCTTTTGAAGCAGAGTCTTCTTGCTGTACATCCCAGGCTGGCCTTGACCTCCTGGTGCTCCTCCTGCCTCAGCCTCCTGAGTGCTGTGATTTACAGCTGTGTCCCACCTCACCTGGCACCCTAAACACCAGCAGCAACTCCTGGGCACCCTCCTCACCATCTCTCTCCACCAACACCTGTTCTCCAAGACAGGTACTTTTAAACCTTCAGATGCTTTCTAGCTCACCTGACTCCTTACCTAGGTCACAAGGCCCTTGAGGACGTGGCTCCTGCAGCCTCCCTGCTGGCCCAGCGGTACCTCCCTCCCTCCTTGCCCCTCCCCCATGCTTCATCCCTCTCCATCGCTGCTGCAGTCAAGGCTTTAGCTGTTTACTCAGTGATTTCTCCTCTCAAAAATTAGTCTAGTTACATGGGGGCTTGGCAGTGTCTTCAGAATCTAGACCAGAACTGGAACGCACTATATAATTACTGCCTCAATTAAATTATTTACTAATCTCCCTTTAATTCTCAAGTTCAGCTGCAGACATAAACTTTCTTCTCACTTCCCCTTTACACTTCAGAAGCGGATTTAAAACAGATTCCCAGCTGTATGACATTAATCTTCCAGATTCACTTCCAAGTCAAGCCATCCCATGCCAAGTCATGACTCTGTGAAGTGGCAAGTGACTTCACAGGGGCACAGGGCGCAGAGACACAGTGTCATCACCGCTGGCATGGCCGCCGCCCACGGTGGCTTCCCAGGACCCAAACCCTGCCTCCTGGCTCAGCCCTGCTTGGGCCTCATGCTCCTGCTGCACCCCCAGGCCACAGCCAGGCCCCAGGGGTCCTGACAGAGCCAGCCAGCCAGCCGAGCTCCCTACCTGCACTGCCTGGCGCAGCCACCAAGGACAGCGGCCCAGGGGAGGGCGGAGCCTGTCCAGTGACAGACCTGACACTGCTGAACTGCACCTGATGGGCACCCAGGAGACATCCACACGGCAGCCGGGGATGCGGCCAAGCAGGGCCACCCAGCGCTGTACAGGGCATGGCCACCAGGGGACCAAGACACCCTGGGCAGAACTTCCCAGTGTGAACGACTGCCCAGTGAGCTAAGCCAACACCCAAAAGGCCTGAGAGGTGGAACACTGCCTGGAGCCTTGCTCTGGTGACTGGGAGACCAGCGCCCACAAAGCACCTGTGTCTCCTGCCAAAGCTCCTCCACATGGGGCCAAAGCGCCCAGAAAGTCTCAGAGCAGGAATGGCAGATCTGAAATCACAACAGCCTCCACCTTTCTCCCAAGACTAAGTTACCGTACTATTCCAAACACATGAAAAGTATATTTAAGGATGATGTGCTGGCACAGGTTTGTCCTCATAGCTGCTTAGGAGGCTGAGGCAGGCGGCTCTCATTAGCCTAGGAGTTTGAGGAGACTGGGTAATATAGAAGGACCCCAATTGCAAAAAGGGGGGACATAAAGTCTAGTCTAACAAAACTATCAAACTAGATACAGTGGCACAGGCCTGCTGTCCCACCACACTGGGAAGCTGAGGCTCAAAGATCACAAGTGTGGGTCCCAATGGGCAGCGTAGAGACGTAGGGCCTGGTGATGTAGCTCAGTACAGAGGTCCTGGGTTCATTCCCAGCTCCAAAAAACAGACAAAGCCATCAATGTCTAGTAACTTTTGGCCCCCACCTCGAGTTTCCAGAATTAAACACGCAAATTCTCACCTGGTAGTGATTCCTGATTGCGGATGGCAGTGCTGGGGGGTCCAGAGCACAGCCCGACCTGCTAGTCCCACCCAACCTGAAGCCCCGGCACCCCACGCCCCAGCACTCACCAGAAGGCAGGTCGAGCTCCACGCCAACCCACGTGCCCTCCTGGAAGTCGGTGGGTCCGATGTACCGCACCACGCCCGTTTTGTTAGTGCCCACAGCGACATACAGCCCCTCTTTGAGCCACTCGGGGACTTCGCTGGCTTCCTCGGAGTCAGATGCCACTTCAGGCTTCCTGGCAGCCTGCTCGCCAGGGTTGCTGGGCCCGGAGGCGGATGGCAGGTCCTCTTCAACCCCTGAGCAGCCGCCCCCCAGCATGCACGTGAAGGACTTCAGCTCCGAGGTGCGCACCTTGCGGATCCGGAATGGGGATGCGGGTGCCTGGGGCTCTGGTGGCAGCATGGGCCTGGGGAACTCGAGCTCCATTCGGGGGGCAGGCTGTGCCGGATGCTTATCCTGGACTGGCTGGGGGCTGTGTGCACCCGAGGGAGAGGTCAGCTCCACCTCCGGGACCTGGCCTGGCGCAGCAGGGGAGCTGGGCGTCTGCCCGCTGGAGCCTGTGGTGTCCAGGCTGAAGGTAAGTGCATCTGACAGGGTGGCAGTGGAGACACTGTGTGAGAAGTAGCCGCTGGAGGCCTCGCTCGGGGGGCTGGGGGGGCCATCTGGCCCCTCCAGAGTTGGGGTGATGGCAGCAGTGTGAGGCAGGGCTGGCCTGTCCAATGCCTTCAGTGCATGGGCTGCTGTGGGCACCGTGGTCTCTGTGGCCACACCCAGCCCTGGGCTCCCTCGCTGAGCCTGCAGTGGAAGGAAGCACATCTGAGAAAGGGTGGCACCGGGACATTGGGATACCGCATCCGAGGGGCACAGAGCCCGGCGCTGTCCAGCCTGAGCTTGCATCCTGGCTGTGCCGGGTCTGCCTCTCCCTTTTCATACTGACAGGCACTCATGCCCACCAGCAGGGTTGGAGTTGGGGCCAGGGCCGGAGGCTGCGGGATACACAGGCCTCACCCTGGGAGCGGGCTGTGGGTGTAGTACCCGTTCCCATGGAAACCTTCCCCTGCCCACCATGAGTTCACAGGGTGGCTCACTGGAAAGGCTTCAAGAGCGCTTTCCTCCAGAAAAATCAAAAGACGATCTCATCAGAGGGTGAGAAGATGCTCAGGCACCCAGAGGAGCTGACCCCGCTGGGTGCTCCTGGCTAGGGGTCAAGGACCTGCGGACCGCGGCCCTCTGGGGAGCAGCAGCGTCCTCTGGCTGCCATAGAGGGCTGGTGCCACCTCGGGGCCCCAGGACAGAACAGCCACTGGGCAGAGGACAGATGGGGGCAGCAGGGCTGCGCTTGCCCCTCATGCCACTCTGAGTCACCAAGCAGAGAACACACAGTAGCCACATTCCAGGGTGGCACTGACAGCCATTGCTTGTCTAAATCCCAGTGTGCCAGAGGTGCCGGGAAGGAGCTCCTGGCTTCCAGCTGAACCAGCCCAAAGGCTGCTCTCCTTTCGCTCCTGCCCTCGGGGTCGGGGGAGACGAGCGCGAGGAATGAGATGAGTGCGAGCTGCTCAGAAGAAATATGTTTCCCAATATTTACGGAAAATTATTTATATTACAGGAATGGTCATTTTCCATTTGAAATATAGGATTTATTTGAACTGGGAAACAGCTGAGATCTATGAGGCTCTCACAGTTCCTTGGCCCAAGGCCGCAGGCTGATAAATCACCCATTTTCCAGCGAACTGTCATTTACCCCAGTTTAGGGCCTCCCCTCCCCGAGAGGCTTGCTTGCAGGGCTGAGAGGAACAGCACCTCCGTGATGGCTCTTGGGCTGTGGAACCTGCTCTCCAATAGATCAGTAACTGCCGTCAGTGTAAACACGGTAAGACCAGGCGGTCCCCCCTCACCCGGGCCCTACGTGCCTTTTCTTTATTCCTTTCTACCTAGGGTCAGTGTCACTCCATCCAGGGGAAATGCTCTGTGCACACAGCCCTCCTCGCATGCATAACGAGGTCTGTCCCTTCCCAGTGGTGGCCGCATACTCGTTATATCTTGGCCCTGGAAGCTGAAGGACTCATCCAAGGGCCCAGGAAGGAGAAAACCAGAGCTGAGGACCAGAAGTGCACTCTGGTTCTGCACCCCACGCTGCACCAGGTGGGCCAGCTGACACCAGGCTGCTGTCTTTGATGTCACTAGGAGAGGTTTCCAGAGGGCTCTGGGAAGCCACTGTTGAGGAAGCCACTAGACCCAGGTGGCAGCTTGGCCACCATTCCAGAACCTGGGTACATGGATGTCCCTGCCAGCACCACTCGTGGCTGGACACCCGGCCTGCATCAGGGAGGGACCCGCACAATGGCCACAGGAAGCTCACAAGCCTTGGAAACACCTGGCGCAAGGCTCTTTCAGAAACAAGGGGCAGCGAGGTGTGACCAGCTCCTCAGACCAGGGGGAGACTTCAAGACTGTCCTAACACACAAAGCTTCCCATGAAGCCCCAGCATTTCCTAAGAGAACGAGGCGCAGTGGGGGAAAGTGGATGCCCTGCTCACAAGTGTGAAGTGCTGCTGAGCCGCGGGAGGCCATGAGAGACTGTTCTCCCCAGCTTAGCGCCAGTCTTTTCACGCTGATCTCATGAATCAGAATGAAATGTGAAACTGAAAATTAAGCAAACACTTAGGAGAACGAGATTATTCTGTTTATAGAAATCCCCTCTGCCTAGCAGTGGGCCATTAAAGCACAGACTACATTAGCAGTCAAGCATCCAAAGTTTAGCAATCATATGATTAACACGTTGAAAATAGAAAGTGTAACATGGAAAAATATGGAGGAAGAAGACAGTGACCTATATCGTACGTAGTTAATTATCAAACAGGAGTGCGAAGGAAAAAACAGCACAGATGTAGACAGAGCAATCCAGCACCAGCACCGCCATGCCGGGCAAAGCCCCAGCCCAGCAACTCACCTGCTCTGTCCTGGCTGCCTGGGTGTCTGGGAGAAGGGCCTGCACCAGGATTCGGGGCACGGGCTGAGGAGACAAGTGTGCCGGTCAGGGGTCACAGAGGCCTGGACAGACCAAGAGGCATCAGAGGGGCCCCAGACTCCAGCACCCCTGCTGCCCAGGCCGCATGGGAAACAAGGGACCCAGCCAGGCAAACAAGACACACACTCAGGTCACTGCCACAGCCAGGTGCTGGCATTTCAGCCCCTTCTCTCCAGCCACAATGCATGGCCCTCAAGGGCTGCACGGCACTCCCAGGAAACCCTAGAAGGATGAGGGCTCTTGGCCAGTGAACCACAGGAAAGGAGAACATAGGAAGGCCGTCTGGGCCAAGCACCAGGTGCAGAGAAAGCTGTGGGCCTGAAATCATCCTAACTGGCAATGGAGAAGGATCACCAGATTTCTGAGCAGAGACAGCAGCTGAAAATCAGCCTGCGATGGCAGCAGAACACAAGCTGGCTGAAGAAATAAAGTCCAAGGAGACACGAGGGCAACTGAGCAGCCTGGAGGTGGGGACAATGTGCATTAGTGGGTATAAACAATGTCATGTCAAAGAACTTCGTGACTGGTGGAGTTACAGACACATGATTCAAGGAAGATTAAAAAGACAAAAATGATGAGAACCAGGGTAAGGAAAGGCCATCAGAAGGGAAGGGAGCAGAAACTGTTTATAGCCACTGGGCCATGCGATACAGCAGCTCGTGTGCAGCGTGAAGGTCTCGGGGACACACTAGTGCTACCACTTTCTGCCTGCCGGCTGCTCCAGCTCCTTGCAGCACCCTTCTCCATCCTGTAAGCTCAGGAGCAAGGCCCTGTCCTGGCAGAATGGACATAGGAAGGGCTCCTCTCCCTTCATGGGGCCCACAGCAGACAGAGGGTGGTGGCTGCTCCACCAGAGACCTCACATCCGGAAGGCCCCTGGATCCCACTGCTGCAGCTTCCAGGGTACACTTGGGCCTGAGGCTCCCACACAATGTCCACCGTCTAGACTCAGCATGGTCCAGCCTATGGCTTTTTCTCCTGTCCCTCCCGCCCACAACCCAGACCTGCCTGGAGGAGAAGCATGCAGGTGCCAGTCAGAGCTGCAAGCATGGGGTTCCCCTTCCACAAAGGGAACCGTGTGGCCATGTATGCCTAGGGCTGCTTGGAAGACAAATCCTGGGGAGCAGAGCGGGTGGAGAGATAGGACTGAGGTCAAGGCCCAGGGAGAGAGACTCAAGGAGAGCACAGAAGAACCAGCTGAGAGGAGGACCAGATAAGGGAACATCACTCTACCCAGCATGGGGGCTGCCGCAGCAGCCACTTCCAGAAAGCACTGTGGTGGCGAAGGTAACAGGAGGGAGCGTGCCCACTATGGACATCAGGGTCTCAGCAGGAGCCCCTTCAGCAGGAAGGACCTGGCTCTGCAGCTCTCGGGGATCCTTCCTTGCAGTCTGGCCCTTTCCCAAGGATGTGCAGCCACTCGCAGCCGCCGGCACTTGGCCCCAAGGCACCAGGCAGAGGCTGCCATCACCGTGTTCTTCCCCTGTGTCTAACACCACCCACAGACGGGAAGCTGCTAGGAGGACACCTCTGCATAAAGACAGGGAAGTTTCTCGTGCTCACACCCCAGTCACAGCTGACTTAGGTAAGACCAGGGGACAATCATTCCCTCCAAGGTGAAGTTTACCCTTCCCAAGCACGAAACGGCAGAAACCCCACCAGAGACAGAAGGGTGATGTGTAGGATGGAATCCTTTCTAGGAGGACACTGTCCTTCCCTCAAGTAGACTTGTATGGTTATTAAGTCCAGCACATGCTCAAGAAGTATTTGCTAAAATGAATTTCTGGACCAGACTGCCTGCAACACTGGTTCTAACTCCCCAGGACCAAACCCCGTTTGGCACAGATTTCCCAGGGTCTCACATGCCCAGGCCTTAAGCCCTGGGCCCTGTGCTACACAGCGACCAGCCAGGTATGCCCTATGCTCTGGAGGAACTGTCCAGCCTCGGGAAGGGACACGTGAACAAATGACAAAGCAGAGAAAAGGCAGGGGTACTGGAACGGATGTTTCTCTTTGTTTGGTTTCGTCTTCCTGAGACAGGGTCTCACTATGCAGTTCAGGCTGGCCTTGAACTCACTGGTAACCCAGGCCAGACTTAGACTCATGGTGATTCTCCTGCCTCTGGCTCCCAAGTGCTGGGATCACAGCAGGTACTCCCCACCAATCTGGCTCTGGAATGGACATTTTAAAAGCAGAGAAAGTTCAGAGGAGAAATGATCACAGACGGATACCCATATGGGGTGATAGTATATTGAGACTGGTAAGCCACACAGCAGCACAAGGCAGAAGTGCCTCTGCCCCCTAAAAGCTACCCCCCTTGCAGGTCTTAGGAAGACCTGGTGCAGGGCAGAGGTCTTGAGAGTTCCTGTGAACTTCACAGGCAACAGAGTGGGTGAAGGCTGCAGGGCAGGCTCTGGTAAGATCTGGGCTCCCAAAGGTGAACTCTGAGGAGAAGGAGACGCTAAACACAGTGAGATCAATTAATAGCTTCAGTGATTCTGTGGAAAACTCCGAAGAGCTTGAATTTGGACAAGACAGGAAATGGAGATGCAAGTTCAGAGACATGAGCAACACAAGCGGCTGCGGAGGCTGGGGAAACAAAACAAAGATGCCGCAAGAACTGGGCAAGCGCTGTCAGAGGCACGGGCGCACTTCTTGGGAGTGTGTGCGCATGCATATAGGTCACCCAGGTGAGCGACTGCCAGGTAGGACACAGCTGTGGTTCAAGGGTCGCGGATCTATCCGTGGAGAATGCTGGACCTCAGCGGTGCCACTTCTTCACACATAACAGCTCCATCTCCAAATGCATACTGTCTGCATTTCAATGCTCTTTCGCGCCCCCTGTACAGGCATCGCCTCTTTCAGGAGCTCTAAACATTTCGGATCCTAAGTTCATTAATCTTTACGACACATCTGGTAACTATTAATAAAAATGACTGCAAAGTAGTTTGCAGCTATAAATATTAAGAAGTCCCAGGAGGCAAGTGAATATAATTACCCACATTTCATACCACTGAAACTAATGCCCAGAGCGCACTTACCTCTCAGGGTGCCCCCAAGCAGTGACAGATGCAGGAGGGCACCGGGAGAGGGCTGGGCACTGCCAAGCACAACACACAAGGGTCCAGGCAGGAGGACAGCTCATCATGCTCCAGGGAGCCAGAGGATCGCACACCTGCTGCTCTGGCCTTGACACACCACGTGATGGGGAGACAGGCTCAGAATTCAGGGCCTAGCATAGAAGCCCTCCCGGAGCACCTCCACCTGGAGCACACTATCCCCTTGACATGCACGGGCCGTGGCCCAGAGGCTGTGTGCATCCTGCTTGTTTCCCTCCTGTTGTGATTTGAGCCTAAATGCCCCCTCCCAGGCCACATGCAGGCATAGATAGGGCTTTTCAGAGGGGCCGGATCTGCTGTGGGGCTGACCTGGCAATGCTGGGATTAGGGTGAGTGAGGACTCATCTGCACTGATCCCAGTTGGTCCTAATCCCAGAGCCTGGGCACACTGTGAGGGACAGAGAGAGGCTGGTCTGGCCCCTTGCTTTGCCACCTTCTCCCTACCATAAACTTCACTCCTCTGCGAGGTCTCCATGCCCCCTTACCTGGAGCCAGTTGATTATGAACTAAATTCACTACCAACTGTGAGCTCAACCAACCGTTTCTCTCCTAATGTGTGGATGATGGGTATTTTTCTCAGAAAAAAAAAAAAGTAACTGAAACACAGCCCATGAGAATACAAGGCTCTCCGACCCCTCCTCACATTGTTCCTGCCCTCAGAAAACACATCCACCAGGCAAGCACTTCTTCACCCCCAGTCTCAGTGCACACAGGCCCACCTTCCCAGCCTAAAAGGAATGCCCACTCTGGCTTTGCCAATGCCATCCTACACGTGTGTTAACTTTTGGCCCTGTGGTTTAAGAAACTTTTTGAAGCCAGACAGGCCAGTGCTGAAGGTCAGCAATTAGACATGCATAAAGTACTAACCTATTGCATTTTTTAAGACAGGGTCTCATTATATAGTCCAGGGTGGCCTCAAACTCCCAGCAATCTGCTTGCCACAGCCTCCCAAATACTGGGACTACAGACGTGCACTATCATGCTGGCATGCTTCTTACTTGAGTGAATAAAAACCACATGAATTATTTAACAAGTAGCACAAAGACGACTGACTTATATACAGACATCTAATTTTGGGGGAAAAAAACCCAAGACTGAAATTTGAGAATAATGGTAGGTGAAGGGAAGAAAAGCAATTGATCGAAGGAATAAAATAATCATTCCAAACTCTTCCCGACACTGAATTTTCAGGTGCATTTTTTTTGTTTAAAAATAAAGTTTTCCTAATAATCACCTGCTATGTTTCTTTTTTTTTTAATTTAGAGGAAAAAAAAACAGAAAAAAGGTAGAAATAATACAGAATTTCAGAAAAATAAGCAGTAATAAAACACTAGTTAAATTACATATTGTCATCTTAGAAACACTTGTTCAAGTGACAAAATTAAAGCATACAAAGTGACATTCAAATAATGACACTGCCAACAGTTCTGCTCAATGATCCAACAAAAACTTAGTAATAGGGTTATCAGTCCTATACACTTATTTTTTTAAAGAAGGTAAAGAAGGTAAGCTTAAACATGACAAAACAGAACAAAAGAATTCATAAGGAAACAATTTAAAGAAACACAGATTTCAAAGCAAGTCCACTGGAGATCTTCACTGTCTATCTTATTGTCTCTAGTTTTCTTCCAAATAGTTGTCCCCATCTTCACACACATTGAATATATACTGAACTAATCAAATCATTACAGGATGATGAAGGCTTTTTAGGTCTTCAAGACCTGATTTTGGGGAAGTCACTAATGACTACCATAATGTCTCTCATTCTCTTCGTAGTAGCTGTCTTTATCTTTACGAATGCTGAAACTGTACATAATAGGCTAATATCACTCTGAACAGTGAATAATAGCATTGCTGGATTTTATA